ATAATTGTTATTAATTTTAAGGTATGATGTACCACTGAGAAGATCATTGATGGCACAATGTATTTCTAATTTTTTGTGGGTCAAGTATATATCTTAAAATTAGCATAGATTTAAGACTACTTAAATTGTTAATACCTAAAGCTTATTTTTATTTTTATTTTTATATTTAAAACAAATAGTTCAAGTGGGTAATTGACAAATTATCATGAATATAAAAAAATAAAAAAAATGGAGATAAAAATATTAGTAAAATCATTAAATTACACCAAACGAATTTGAAGAATCAAAAAAGAACATTTATAACCACTATAATATAAATAAAAAGGAAATTAAACTACAAAAGAAATTTAAAAAAGAATAAAGGGTTAGTTTAGTCATTTAGGGATCTTATCCAAGGTTTAACAAACCTTGGATTAGTTATCCCTCCATTTCTAACGGGTAAGATAATACCACATATGATGGATAAGCAATCCATGGATTAAATTAAATGAAGTAACAAAACAATGTATTAGTTGGATTAAATTTAAATCCATATTTTATTTTATCTAATACCGCCTACCAAACGGGTCCTTATAGTTAAGAGACTATGTCATTTTCTCTATATTGGAGAGTGTATTACTAATACCATAAATTCCTAGGTATTAGTAATATCAAGGAATTTAGTGCATGCATTAGCATTTCAAAGACACAAACACCCCTCAAAATGCCTTATATATTTTTTCAAAATAATTGAGGATAGTTTTATATAATACATGTTTTCAAAACACCAAACTAAACAAGGCATAAGAAATAATTTATATATAACTAATGTAAGCATAACTTACAAACATTGCTAACATAACATTATGTTTACACAGTCTTCCATTTTTATGATTAATTTAATTAAAATTTACTAATTTAAAAATATAAAGCAATCTTTTACTATAGTAATTAATATCAGTTTATCAATTAATATATTCTCAAAAGACAATATATGACTTAAATATTTAATTTAATATCATTGATAAATATTCTTATTTCTTTAATATAAAAAATAATTTTTATTTTTAAAATAGTTTTAAAAAAAGAATTAGTAAGTAAAATATGTAAAAAGAAAAAAATCTCCACAATATGCCCAAATACTACCGGCTAGGGTTTCATACAGAAAAAAGACAATCTACACGGAGTGTGGCATCAGAGAGAGAGAGAGCGCAATATGGGTTCGCGTGAGAAAGACCAGCCGACACCGCACCTGAGCAGCCTAGTTGTACGACCTATTGACAGCGGCGGAGAAAATGGAGGTGGCGGTGCAGGTAGCGACTACGAACCAGGTGAGGTTCGTCGGGATGCACCCCCGTATTCACGTTCCGATCGATTCTCTGATACTCATGGTTCGTCCTTATATAAATTCATTAAATTATACCAAACGAATTTGGAGAATCAAAAAAGAACATTTATAAACACTATAATATAAATAAAAAGGAAATTAAACTACAAAATAAATTTAAAAAAGAATAACGGGTTAGTTTAGTCATTTAGGGATCTTATCCAAGGTTTAACAAACCTTGGATTAGTTATCCCTCCATTTCTAACGGGTAAGATAATACCACATATGATGGATAAGCAATCCATGGATTAAATTAAATGAAGTAATCAAACAATGTATTAGTTGGATTAAATTTTAATCCATGTATTATTTTATCTAATACCGCCTACCAAACGGGTCCTTATAGTAAGAGACTATGTCATTTTCTCCATATTGGAGAGTGTATTACTAATACCATAAATTCCTAGGTATTAGTAATATCAAGGAATTTAGTGCATGCATTAGCATTTCAAAGACACAAACACCCCTCAAAATGCCTTATATATTTTTTCAAAATAATTAAGGATAGTTTTATATAATACATGTTGTTTTCAAAACACCAAACTAAACAAGGCATAAGAAATAATTTATATATAACTAATGTAAGCATAACTTACAAACATTGCTAACATAACATTATGTTTACACAGTCTTCCATTTTTATGATTAATTTAATTAACTAAAAATATAAAGCAATCTTTTACTATAGTAATTAATATTAGTTTATCAATTAATATATTCTCAAAAGACAATATATAACTGAAATATTTAATTTAATATCATTGATAAATATTTTTATTTATTTAATATAAAAAATAATTTTTATTTTTAAAATAGTTTTAAAAACAAGTAATTAGTAAGTAAAATATGTAAAAAGAAAAAAATCTCCGCAATATGCCCAAATACTACCGGCTAGGGTTTCATACCCAAAAAAAACAATCTACACGGAGTGCGGCATAGAGAGGGAGAGCGCAATATGGGTTCGCGTGAGAAGGACCAGCCAACACCGCACCTGAGCAGCCTCGTTGTACGGCCTACTGACAGCGGCGGAGAAAATGGAGGTGGCGGTGCAGGTAGCGATTACGAGCCAGGTGAGGTTCGTCGGGATGCACCGCCGTATTCACGTTCCGATCGATTCTCTGATACCCATGGTTCGTCCTTCTGTCATCATTTTTTTTCTTTCACAATAATTGTTTATCAATTTCGGAGCCCTCAAAGTCAATTAGTTAACTTTTCAAACTATTGTATGGATCTTAACGTGTAGATCGAACAGGAGTATATTGATCTGATTTTTGGTGAAAGTTATAATTGTTTATTTTTGCTGGAATAATTAACTCAGTGTATGTCTATATGGATTGACATGTGTAGTCTCCTTTTTCTCATGGATGTGGCGTGTCATTCTTTTCATAGCGGGTTAACTAATGCATTTTCGTACTGTTACGGTTTACTTTTTGGGTGATAATTGCTCACAGTTGTCTCATTTCGCTTAAACATTTGTGTCATCCGTTGAAATGTGGTTATCAAGTTAAATTGATGTCAACAATGGTGAAACCTAACAGTTGGTGTCCTTTATATCAATCCTACTTACACTCCATTGCCTAGTAATGTAATTATTTGTTGGAAAATTAGGGTATCTCTAAGTTCTACAGTATTCCTACAGTTGTAATGTGTAACCAAAGAGATTCCGCATAAAAAAGAATGTAACCTAAAGACTCTTATCAGAAGCGTGGTTTGTTATAAGTGTCAATAGTTAGTTCTTTGCTTCTAATCTGTTTCATTCTTCATTTAGCCCATGTTATTTCTAAGATAACGTAGCACTTTTAAGAAAAATGTGCTATATTTGATTGTAGTTCATCTTCAGTTAAAATGGTGTTATCATCCCTGGTTCACTGCTCTGTGTAGTATGATCTAATCATCTTGGTCATCTTTCCTCTGATTTTCACTTGCACATTTTGTCTATTTGATCAGTTCCTAATCATTTAGTTATTTTGTATGATAGAATCATCTTAACATTCTCATTTCGTTGAGGCTTTGCCTTGTGGCTATGTTGGGCATTTAGAGGCTCAACAATCTCTCCATTTAGTATAGATGGTCTCACAACCATTATTTTTCACTTTGCTATGACTGTGTCTGTTGCTTGACACCCTCATAGCACATTTCGAGTTTGGTCTTGATATTTTGGTCTAGTTTTGTTTTAAAATTTTCTTAATTCTTACGCATGGTTACATGTTGTGCATACATCCTATCTTACTTTTACTTGTCCTAGGCCTTTACTTTCTGGAGTATGTCTCCACTGTTCAAGCTTTTGCAGTGAACTACCTCGCTGGTTTCATCAAATAAACGATACGGCCCTGAAAGTATAAACCATGAAAATCATGTTGTATACTATTGGTGAGCTCATATGCAGCTAGCTTAAACAATTAGAGGGTCAACTTCTTTGTGAACTTCTTTAATTTTCTCCCTAATTTTTGTATTTTGTAGTTCATGATCAGTTCCTTCATATCTAATCCCTTAGTGAAGTTGCTACAGTTTGACTCTTCCTATCTTTCTTGAATCCACTTGTTAGGGGCTCTTACTATAGATAATATCTTTGAGGTAGTTTGGGAGATTTACAGGCTTTAGGCAATCAACATGACACATTTGAGAGATCTATTTCATCAGACAGATCTTTTTTGTGCCAAGCCTCTACATTTCTCAGCGAGATGTAACACCTTTTATCCACCCACTTGATTCCCATTGTTCTCCAGTATCATTTATGGAGTGTTAAATTGTGAATGAATTTTGCTATTGTGTTTTACAGCTGAGCACTTTGCCTGGTGCAAGAACTTTGCTCTTGAAGAAGGCACATGGTGGGGTTCTGGTGAGAAATTTTGTTGGGTATTTTGAACAGGAAAGTATATATCAAGTATTATATTTTATGGACTTTTGCATGGGCTGTGAACTCTTGGTATCATGATGTGTTTGACGGGATAGCACTATTGATGGACAGCTTGTATGGATTGGAGAATGATACATGAGATATCTGAGAATACTGATCCATCATTGAATGGTTGATGTTGTGAATGAAGTGTTTTTGCTGATTGTCTTTATAGTTGTATAGTTAAGTGGGGGTAAATTCTGCCAGGGTGATGAGTTGAAACTGGTGAAACATGACAAAGACTCCAACTCCTCATGAAGAGGTCATTTGGTAGACACTGATTGTCTGGGTATTGGTGTTTTGAGTCCATCTGAATCCTTGTCCATTGGATTCAGGGAAATAATGAATGTTTTAGTCTTTTCAGTTTTTGCTTTCTCCAATTAGCAGTGGCTTTTGGGATTTATTCTTTTAGTACTTTAATTTGGTGGTTAAGTAGGAGTTGAATTGGGTATGCATATGGATTAGTTGCTTTGTTGAAGATTAAATTTTGGTGAATAAGAGATTCCATGTAAGTCGCGAACGCATCAATTCCATATAGAAGCTTGAACTTAATAGGACTTATCAACATACTGTGAGCTGGTTTACGGAAAGGGTTTATTGAGTTCAGTGATTGGATTCTCTCAGCCATTTGCACAAGCGTTTACGGTGATTATGGTTGATTGCATTCAATTTGCAGTCCTTTGGCTGAGGTGTTGGATTGTGATTCAATTGTTAGCAGTTTGATAATTTATGGTATGCTCTTTACCTGGATTGTTATCAGTTCAGTAATTATAAGGTCTCTTGGCTCTGGAGCAGTTTGGAGTCTGGCTTGAAGTTCCCAATTACTGCTTACGTTGGTAGTGTTGGTTATGAAAATGGGTGTTCTATTTGATTCGGTTAGAGGGAATTAATGTCGACCGTGAAATGTGTGTCGCCGTGCTACTTGCTTAACTTTTAGTAACCAAGTCTATTTTTCCTCGAGGATTTCAATAAATTATCATGTCAGCTGTGGATGATACAGAAAAATGTAGTTTTCTACGGTTGATGCACTGTAATAATTTAAACTGAGACATAACTTTGAAGACAGTCATCCTCTTGAGATTCACATTCTCTTCATGCTACTCTTTCTCTTATTTTCGACATCAGGCTATGAACAATGGTAACTGGTTACACAAGCATAATCCGATTGTTGTTGGCATTTCATGGGTTCCACACTTTAGCTTAATTAGGAAATAATATGGGTAACTTTCTCTCATGATATAGTGCCTCTTATGTTTGGGATTCGCTGGATTTTTTTCAGGATATAGAGCGCATGCAGGTTCTGTTTCACCTGTGCGCCATAGGAATGCAGATCATCGGTATAGTACTGATTTTGATCATTCAGGTGGCCCGCCACGTAGTCATGGATTTGGTAGCGGTAGAGATCCTGGTAGACATCGAGACTATTCCCCCCCTTATGGTCGCGGGAGACATGCTGGCAGGTTTGTTGGCAGAAGTTATGATGGACCTGGTTATGGTGGACGGCAAGTTAGAGGAGAAGGTCTGCCTAGAAGCAATCCAAATGTACGGCCAAGAGATGGTGATTGGATGTGCACGGATCCCTTGTATGTTCTTTCTCTCCCCTATTTTCTGTTAGCATTGAGTTGTCATTTAAATGTGTCTAATTTCTTTTCTTCTAAACTTATGGTTTTCCTTCATTGCCTAAAAATGTTATGGTATCTCTGCTAAGATTGTGACTTAGTGGAATTCCTTGATTGAATGCATTGAATTAATTGAGAGTTTCAATATGCTGTTGTCGTATCAGTATTGTGAAAGGCGCTCGCCTTTCACCTTTGGCGATAACGCGAGGCGAGGCAAGGCACTTTCGCCTATTTGTCTCGAGGCGAGGCAAGTTGAAAAAGGCGACCTTATGGGGCCCTTTGGCGACTTTCTGTCACCAGCCTTCTTATTTTTTTAATTTTTTAAAGGTCTGATTTATAATTAAAAGCCAAAATTAGGGTTTTTTGGGAACATTCCACATTTGCGATTGCCTCCTCTTCTCCTCAATCGCAAACCCTTCGTGTTTGCCTCCTTTTTGCAAACACCGATTTCGCGACCTTCTTCTTCAACTAACTTCGCGGCTACTGCTGCTTCACCGCTTCGTGACTGCTGCCATGTACATTTCTTCTTCTTCAGTTCTTCTCTTCTTCTTCTCGTCCAATTCTTCTCTTATTTTCTTCTTCTTCACTTCTCTGTTTTTCACGCACTACTGTGCTCTGTTTTCAGTGTGGTAGGAAGCAGGGTTGTTCACTCACTCGGTGTTTTGTTCACTATTTGTTTTTAAATTTAAATATTTGTTAATATATGTATTGCTATTAAGATTTTTGGATATTTGTATGTGCAATTAAAAATTTTAATTTTTGGTATCAATTGGCACCTTAATTCAAAAAGGGGAGCGCCTCGTGGCGAGACAAGCCCTTGTCGCCTCTCTCTGTCCAAAACACTGTGCTGTATAAGGATCGTCTGCATGGTAGATAGTCTCTTTAGAACTTCTTGAGAACCAACTTTCATTTGAAGTACTTGAAAATGATTCTAATTACTAATTGGTTTGAATTGCAGTAAATGATTTTTGCACCTATGAATCCTACGACTAAGATTGTGACTCAGTAGAAGTCCTTGATTGAATGGATTGAATTAATTGAGAGATTCAATCTGTCATTGGTTTACAAGGATCGGCTTGAAAACCAGCTTTCATTTGAAGCACTTGGAAACATGATTCTAATCAATGATCAGTTTTAATTGCAGTTAAATGACTTTTGCACCTATGATTCCTACGCCTTACCTTCAGGTGACTTGTAACCAGATGAATCACAACTTATATTGGAGATCCCTCGTGCGAAAAGTTCTGTTTTGTCAAGGCTTAAAATAAATTTAAGTGACAAATAAACCATCATTCTATGCAAGAGCTTAAACAAAGATAACTTTGCTGCTAAATGAGAAACTAGCAAGAATATTGAATGGATTTATTTAATTTTTTTCTGATTATTTGTAATGATTGAACTACTTCAATAGTATTCAGTTCTAGGAGTAGATTTTGAAAGGACTGATGTACCTTGATTTTGTGGAAGCAGTAATGATCATTGACATTGCATAGCACTTTGGTTGTTCAATGATATCTATTGCTGACCTGTGTCTGTGAATACAGACTTATAAATCATGGCGAGAACTATAATTGCTTACCTCCTAAGAAGAAAAAGGGGAAGTAAATGTCTGCTGTTCTAGATTTCATAGCTGTGTATCTTACTCGGCTTCCTGACATTGCAGGTGTAACAACTTGAACTTTGCAAGACGAGAGAACTGTAACAAGTGCAAAAGGCCTCGATATGCACCTCCAGGAAGTCCTCGGAGGGGTTATCCCAGCCCACCTCCCCATCATCGCAATCCTGGCCCCCCAATCAACCGTTCTCCAGGAAGGTTTGTGAATGGGTATAGGTCCCCTCCTCGCGGCTGGGCTAGAGATGACCCCCGAGATTTCAGAGCTGGTGTTCCTCATTCAAGATTTGAAGGGAGGTTTGCAGATCCTCCAATCCGTAGAGATAGGCCTGCTTTTGCTGATGCTGATGGTAGGGATCGAAGTAGGTTTGAGCGGCCTCCAGCCCTGGATTGGGGACATAGAGAGCGCGGGAGAGACAGCTATTTGAGTGAGAGAAAAGGTTATGAAAGGCGAACACCATCTCCACCTCATCCACCAGTACTACCACCTCGTGGCCAATGGCCACGTGATACCAGGGAAAGAAGCCGTTCTCCAGTGAGAGGTGGACCACCGCCCAAAGACTATCGCCGTGATGTATACATGGGAAGGGGGCGAGATGATCGGAGGGTTGGACGAGGTGCATATTAGCTGGTGTTGAAATGATTATAATTGTTGAACTGTGTTTACTGGTTAGCGAAGGTAAAGCGACAAATATTTTCCTAGAACTAGTATTATCCAAGCACATATTTTCTATCAAGTTAAGAATCTGTTTATGTAACTTTTAATTGTGCAGGCATTTGCAATTGCTGTACCAGAAATAGATTTTTGGGAATTCCCTTTGACTCAAACATATTATCCTCATTTCTCAGCATGTCTTGTGGTATTGTTGTTGCGATTATTAGTATTTAATGTCTGTCTTAGTGCCGTGCTTATTTAAGCTGCTTACCCCCCCCCCCCCCCATATATATATATATATATATATATATATATATATATATATATGCGCTTGTTCCATCTCTTGATGGTTTTGTTTGCCCAACTGTTCATAATCTTGATTCTGCTGTGAACATTGTACAGACCTAAATTATAGATGGTAAGTAGGGCTGGTTTATCATTATAGTCTTGTAGGTGACTTACTTTCAATTTTTTCTTTATTGATCTTGAGTTCTTGACTTGTTATTATCAATCATTATTAATCGCGTGAAATGGGTATTTTACCGAGTCGACAAGGAATTTCATTAAAAACTGATTGGAACAACTCAATGAATTTCGTAGATCGTTTTAGTAGGGCCTTAATGACTATAGATTGAACTTATTCAGTTTTTACAGAACAATGGTTGCTTATTCACGGTCTAATTATATCCATTTGGGGATCAATGTCCCGAAGAAATTCAATAAGTAACTAATGATCCTGTTATACATATGTTCTTTCCTGATGAATTGTATAGTTTTATAATTTCATGACTAAACAAGCTATCAAATGAACTGTAACTACAATTACAACGAATTCGAGTTAATATATGCTCTGAGGTTGAAAATATCATACAAAATTTTAAGAAAAAAAGAGCCCCTTAATTACATAATCCTAAAATGAAAATCAGAAATTGAATTCATTATAAGATCAATTTATTCTTTTTTGAAAATGGTATGCAATCACTCAGATTTGAATCAAGATGCATTAGCACTGCTTCCTAAGAGCAGCATGTCTATCAATTTTTTCATAGCTGCTTGTCTTGAACTAATAATAGCCTATGAATAAGCAATTTGTCAAGATTGAGTAGGCTATTTAAATAATCATTCAAATGGATCAATAACAATACAAGTTGTTCAAATAGGAATTTGAGGTCGAAGGTTCATTAATTTTTTTATTTGAGTTGAGTCTTAGTTTTTTTTTTAATTTAACCAGTGACTTTTTTATATTTAATGCTTTCTTCGAATTCAACTATTGTAATGAAACCATTCTTTCTCAATTAAGTAAAATAGTTCAAAAAGTCTTGATTTCATTGTTTAAGCAGTAACTTTTTTGAGTAACTTTCACACATAGCAAACATAAAAATCATATTTGTATGATATAACTATAGTTCATAATTGTGCTCCATAGCAAAAATAAATATGTATATTTCGCTACACATATTCAGGGTGGACATAAGTATCGAAAAATCGAATCGAATAAAAAAAATTTGATTCTTCGGTATTTCGGTTCGATATCGATTCTTTTTTTTCCGAAACGTCGATTCGGAGTTCGGTTAAGGGTCTCAAAACTACGATGCACCGAAAGAACCAAACTTTTATTAAATAAATTTTAAAATGTTTATTCTATTAATGAATTTTTTTAACTTTACTTGGCACATTTCAATTTTTATATTTAGAGCCTAAACTTAAATAACAAAAATCTAAATAACAAAACAGTAAACCCTAAAGACCTAAAGTCTAAACAAAACAAAACTCAATTTAATTTAAGTTTGAGCAACAACTTGGTATTTCTACTATCTACGTTTACTTTATGATTTTGTCATTTTATGTTGTTAATTTGAAGTGTGAACAACAAATTGATGTTCTTACCTTTTTTTGTTAGTTGTTACTTTGAAGTTTGAAATGTGAAGTGAATAACAATTGTTACTTTATCCTATTCTCGCTTTATTTTTATTCACTTTAAAAACACCGAAGTAAATCTAACCAAACCGATCAAGTTTGATTTGAAATATCGTGCACACTTTTTTAAAATAGAATACCGAGGAACCAAATCGAAATTTGATTAAATTGAACCGGAGAATCAAACGCCCACCCCTAATACATAGACAAATGAACGTATTATAATTTCACTATACATATACAAAAGAAAACAATTGTATAATCTGCTTTGCTATACATATACAGAAGATCAATTGTATAATCTGTATTTGTATAAAGCAAGAAAAGGGAAAGACAAAAAAAATTGAGCAGGAGAAGATCGTATTTATATAATAATAAGTGTATAGAACGAATATATATGCATTTTTCTTTGTATATACAATTTTCTCTCGCTTTATACAAACACAAACACAATGTATACATTTGTGTTTGTATAAAGTTAGAGAGGTGAATGAACGAGAGAGATCTGAGAGAAACGATATCCGCGAGAGGGGAGAGAGGGGGAACGTAAATATATGTATTATATACAATATTCTCTCGCTTTATACAATACAAATACATTTTGTACATTTGCGTAAGCGAGAAAGGCGAGGGAGAGAACGAGAGTGACGAGCGAGATTCACCAATAGAGAGGTGAAATAGTAACATTTTGCTATGGGGTACAATTATATCAAACTATGGTTCTATTATTTAATTTGAATTAATAATTATCTATTAAATAAAATTTCCCTTTTTTTTTTTCATACATCTAAAATAAAACAAAAAAGGAATTTTGACGACAAAATAAAAAGAAAAGAACCAATTTCGCATAGCTAAAAATTCAAAATTAGTCATACAAAATTTCATTAAGCAATTTTCTCTATTGGGTTAAGAACAAGATATACACGAGGTCTATATAATAATTCAGAGAAAATTAAAAGTGAGAAAGTTTGAGAAAATAAAAATATTTCAAAATAGAATCAATTAATTTTGACGAGTTCTTAACTTTCACTAATTTTTTTTATATACATTCTTCTATAGTATGTAAAAATAGAATTTTATTATGCAAATAGGTAGATGGAAAAAATAAAATTTTCCAGCTTGTAATCGAAATGATCTTTATTCTTTTGTCAATAAAAAAGTTAGTATCAATCACTATGAATCGCATTACGGGTACACTATTGGTTAGAAGTCGTATAGCTTGTGTGTTGGCCCATATTGCATTTTGAGGAAGTTAGACGAATTATTTCTATATAATTAGTTAAGGTATTTACATTTAATTATATTATGCTGTGTTTTTTTAAATAAAAAAAATTGTGGCTCGTAGGCCAATTTTTTAAGGAAATTTTACACAAATTTCATACCGTTAAGAACTAATTATATTCTATCCCTTCATTTTTTAAATTACAATTTTTTTTTGAATTCAATAAAATTCGGATACATTCAAAATGTCTTGATCCATTGTGTCTCGGTTTTAGATACAACGCTCAATGTTTCGATACATCACATTTCTGTTTTGAATATATTAATGAACATCTCGATACATCACATATAGTGATGTATCCGACTGACACATCGAGCAAAATGATGTATCACGTTTTAGATACACCGCGTATAATGATTTATCCGACTGATACATCGTGTAACTAATGTATTTGAGAATAGGAGAAAATAGAGATTTTTGTAACTTTTTCAAATGATAGGAATTTTCAAAGAACATGGTAAATAAGTTGTGTATTTAGATAATTTTTTTATTTTATTAAGAAAAAACTACACAATAAAATATTTTATGGTTTGTATTTCTGTACTTTGTATATCCTGTACCTCGATCTCCATTGTAGTCATAATGCTAGTCCTAAAGTCTTTTTGTTTGTAGTTGGATTATTTATTTTTATATAGCTATTTAAGGTATTTACATTTAATTATAAATATGCAATGTTTTTTTTTCTTAAAAAGATTATGGCATATGTGGAGTCTATCTCATATTTTTGGTCAACTTTTACTATTCAATTACTACAAGTAATTATTAAAAAGTAATAGTGAAAAGAGTTAAAAATAAAGATTTGGCGGTTGACAAATTGGTAAGATTTGCAACCCTTTTTGACTTTGTTATATTTACCTGTGTCATTAAAGACATAAACATGATTTTCCTTTTCTATAAATAGAGCATTCTTGCCCATTTGTAGAATACACCAAGTTAGAGAGAAAACATCATTTTAAGAGCAAAGTGAGGTATTAGTTTGTGAAGAAAAATAGAGTGTGAGCGATATTTTAGTAAGATGAAAATCAAAAGAGTGTTGTTCCTTTTGAGTGTGTAGTAGTCACTTTGAGTATTGTATTTGTGACTATACAATATAAAATTCCTCAGTATAGTGATATTAGTTGCTCCTCTTGGCCTGTGGTTTTTACTTTATTTAGAAGGGTTTCCACGTAAAATTTTTGGAGTCATTATTTTCCCATTTTATTTTCATTACTTTTACTCTATATATTTTTGTGCTTGTCCGCACTTTCTCAACAAACTAGTATCAGAGCCAAGGTTGTATCTGAGTTTGCTCTGTGATTGCAGCACAATTTGAAATTTCACATCAGAAAAGATTTACTTTGATTTGCAATAATTATTTTCTGAGGGAAAAACGATGGAAGCCAAGCCGAGTAGAATGATTACTTTGAATGGTGTTAACTATGTCATTTGGAAGGGAAATATCAAAGATCTGCTTTATGTTAAGAATTTTACAAACTAGTCTTTACCATGTAAAGCGTGATAATAAAACAGTTGAAGAGTAGAATATGTTGCATAGACAAGTTTGTGGATTCATTAGGCAATGGATTGACGATAATGTATAGTGCCATATTTCTGAGAGACACATGCTAGAACCCTATGGGAGCACATTGAAAGTTTGTATGCTCGGAAAACTAGCAACAACAAAATGTTCTTAATAAATCAGATGCTGAGTTTAAAGTATCATGATGATTTTCCCATGACAGACCATTTGGATAATTTTCAGGGAATCATGAACCAATTATCTGTTATGGGCATCAAATTTGATGAAGAAATTCAAGGCTTGCTTCTACTTGGTTCCCTACCAGACACTTTGGTAATAATTAAAACTTTGTTGTCAAATTCTGCTCTGGATGGTGTGATCTCTATGGATTCCGCCAAGAGTAATGTCTTGAACAAAGAGATGAGAAGAAAAACTCAAGGTTCTTCTTCGTCGGATGTCCTGATAACTGGACCTAGGGTGAGAAACAAAACTCCTGGTT